GAAAGCAAGTTAAAGAAAACGTGGGAAAATATGTTCAGTCGCAGCATTGGTAGTGTCGAATTCACAAATTATGAATTACTGAAAAATAGGAATCATTCTAAATAGTGGCGTATGCTACGTCGCGGGTCAGCTCATTGTATATAATCATCTTTTCTCTTTCGTGCCCAAAACACACGTGGTAGATGAAGTAGAGTTCATATTATTCAAAGACAAAGCCTTATGCAGAAATATTGTGGGCATCACAATGCCCAGCCGCCTTTGTATTCCCTAACGTGAGTAAACTATAACAGTAAGGGGATCGAATTTCCAGCTTAATCATGTTTGTAAATAGAAATGCTGGGTAAGTTGGAAAACAAACTGTTTGTATAGAAACCACATACAGGCAAAATGTTTTATAATATGCCGCTTTATGATAATATGATATAAAAATCTCGGCATATGAAGAGATAGTGTAGTCAGCATTATACCCAGCCGCCTTTATTTCACTGTTATCTTGTTTGAAATTTTTAGTTATCTGCCATTAATGGAATGGTATTCCCCAATTATAGCTAAATTTTGTTGTCAAAAAAAAAAGAAAAAGTATAAAAGTATATTTTTATGCGTGTGCGTGCGTGTGTGTGTGTGTCGGCCTACGTAGGTCTATAATTTAAACATACACGGGCACATGTATGTGTATAAGCTTTAATCAGTGCATACTTAATAGTAACGATGTTTATATCTGTTGGGTTCTTCTGTCTAAGTCTAGGGGTATATTATAGCAACTGACAACATACACCACAGTAAATTCACTGGATAACAATACTAAGCAATAATAATAACTTTAATATATATATATAAGAATAAACAATATGAAAACAATAAATGATACTATATGCTTTAACATAGATGATGATACTTAACACGACCCCAGTCACAGTCATGTCTTGTCATATCCACGTCCACATCCACACTACAACTGCTTCACACACTGGCACACGCTCTGACACCCGTCACTTGACACACCTCACGTGAACACCTCTGGCTCCATGTAAACACACTCAACCAAGGGATACAACTATACACCAAAGGGAGGGTACCTGTCGTTCCAGCACACAACACACAATATGTAGTATAAAATCACTCAGTGGGGATGCTTTTTACAGTAGGATGTAGAAATGTTATCTTTATAAATAGCAGATTTACGCATTGGTGTCACCCCCACCCTTTTGTAATAATTGTCGATGTTTACTTAAAAGACTATTTAACTATAATTAATCTGGCAAAAGGAATTTTTCTAATGCATATTTTGCAATTTTTTGCCTTGATGTCACCCACCTAAATGTTGTCACCTGGTGCGGTCCGCACCCCTCCCCCCCCCCCGCCACGCCCCGCCATCGCTACGCCTCTGAGTTATAGGATTGATTTAACTTGGTGTATGTTCACGTTTTTTTCTTAATTAGGTCAGCCGGAAGTAGAATTATCTAATTGCCCATTGGGGCAGTATATAAGCGAAGGCTATATCAAACCTGGGACACCCGTCTCCTGTAAGTGTATCCTCACCAAACGAGGCTACCCACCAGCCGTGGCACAGTGGTACAAAGTGAGTAGTGATAACAATTTTGAGGCAGTCGGTACTCACGGCGAGGATGGATCGGCAAGTCTTACAGTTAGTGCTGGGCCCAGCGGTAAGCTTGGAGTTGTATACACAGTCTAAGATAGATTTGTGTGAATCAATTATTCAATGGGTTCAGTGCAGAGGCGTACCGACCCTTCCCGACGCCCGAGGACAAACTTTCAATTTGCACCCCCCTCAAACTTTCGATTGGCACCTCCCCCCCCCCTCAAACTTTCGATTTGCACCTCCCCACCCTCAAACTTTCGATTTGCACCTCCCCCCCTCAAACTTTCGATTTGCAACACCCCCCCCCCCCCCTCCCTCAAACTTTCGATTTGCAACTCCCCCCCCCCCCTCAAACTTTCGATTTGCACCCCCCCCCTCCGTCGAACTATTTATAATTTGTTTTTCCAACCAATTTTGGCGCCCCCTAGGTCGGCGCCCGGGAACATATATACCCCCCGCTACGCCTCTGATTCGTTGTGGTCGAACTGGTAATGCTCATGGTTGCTAAACTGAATTGTTCCAAGTTCGAATCCCTAGCTGCTGATGCTTTAATAAGGTCTTTGTGTGTTAAGTGTTCTATTACTCGACCACGTCGCTACGGGGTGATTTAAAGGCCATTTATAATGAGCCAAGATTAAAAAGTATATATTAAAATGTAGCAATCTATCACTAAATGGGGAGCCAGTAAATAATCTATCTATGTATATAATTCTCTTCTTGGAGACGATAGAAAACACCAAGCTGTAAGCGCGCTCCCTACCACCCCCACCCCTACATGGTCTGGTGAGCTGTGGTTCACGCTAAATGTTTACAATCGTAGAACCGGGTTTAGTGACGGCTATAAGGGGCAGATAATTTAGTTTGAAACGATTTTAAACTTAGGGGAGGTTACTAAGAGGCGTTTACTTTCACGGGGGGGGGGGGGTAGGGGTTGAGGAAAGGAAGGGGGGGGGGTTATCGTCCTTAACGAGCTACAGATAGTGTTTTAAAGCAAATATTTTCAGTGGCAGCGTTGGTACTATCAAATTCACAAATTATGAATTACTGAAAAGTAGAAAATAAAACAACTAAATAGCGGCGTATAATACGCCGCGGGTCGGCTCGTACAAATTAATGTAAAAATACAGCTTGGCCGAGTGACGTACACAATTTTAGTGAAATGTAACAAATTAAGCGGGAGTAATCTCCCCTAAACTTTCCCGAATATTTTTAAATAACACTACAGGTGGTGGCAACTCGGGATATAGACATGATTTTTATATTCTCTTATACGACGTATAAAGGAAGTATTGTAATCGTGCAAAAAAAAATCGAGATTAATCGAGATTTTCACAAATCTCGAAGTTTTACACCTCCTTGAGTCGGAAAAACATAGTTTTGCAATTTTATCCGTATGTCTGTGCGTGTATGTATGTGTGTGTGTGCATATGTATGTATGTGTGTATGTCTGTGAACACGATAAATTGAGTACCGTTACAGTTAGGTTGATGAAATTTCATATATATATATATATTTATATATATATATATATATATATATATATATATATATATATATATATATATATATATATATATATATATATATATATATATATATATATGTAGGCCTATTATTTCTAAATTGTAGTTCTGTATCAAATTTTCAGCGATTGCTGGTAATCGGAAGTAAAACATTTTTTACTTTTCGTTTTTCAAAAGCCTATACACGAAAAAGTAAAAACAATGTTAAACTATTTTATATTTTTGCTAACCATAATGTCCGTATATTAATTATGTAATTTTTTTTTCAACAAACTTCTAATCAAAACCAACATATTAACAATTAATTTTTTTCAGAGTCGTTTTTAAATTTCACTTGTTTGGCAAGATCTGGACAAATGCCTTTTGCTTTTGCATCTGAGAGTTCATCATTTTCCTTACAGGCTGCATGTGAGCAACTTAGACATGGTAGTTAGGGATCGTCTTGAAATGACGTCAAACATTTTTAACGATTACCCCCACCCCATAGTCACATATCGTCACAAAAAGCTAACTCTCTACACTCTTAAATCATCATCATTATATTTTCCCGTTCTTGCCCAAGAAACACGGAGTAGATAAAGCAAATTTCATCTGTTTCAATGACCTCGCAGTAGGACGAAATATGGCGTTGTCAGCACTTTGCCCAGCCACCTAGTACTGACACTTTAAAATGGCGACATATTTAGCTTATCCATTTACCTGAGATTGCAATTATCGTTTTTTTTTTTGTTTTTTTTTTAATTTTTAATTAATTTAATTTTTTTCTAGTTACTAAGCTTGGTCAACACCAAGATTAATGAACATTCGCTCCCACATTTTAAAAAAAAGTTATTTACAATCAGGAAAAAACTGCTTAACTTCTATATTGCTTTTTCGAAATGAACATTGTCTAAATACTCCCAGCCTGTATCACTAGACTCCCTGTATCAAGATGTGTAACGCCATTTATAGACGAGCCCACTTTTTGTTTATCAAAAACAGCACTAAATACCAGTTTTATTACAACTGTAGAATATTAATGAAATGAAATAATATATGTCGTTTTTTTGGTACAAAATGAGGCACGACTTTGTTTTAAACATTTTAACACTTGTAACTAAATAATACTGAAATCATGAAAGCATTTTTTTTTCTATTCAAAATCCAATCATAATACACAATTAGCTAATGCTAAATGATAGAAAACGAATCATATTTCAGTTCCACCCAAAATCTTAAGATTTTATCGCGAGCCACAATACCCAACCTACGACACACTTGTGAGATTTTCTTGCGACGTAAGCAGTGGTCCATCCGCTGATGTTGTTGTCTACAAGAAAGGAAGTAACGTCACATTAGCAAGTAAAAACCTTAAAGCTAGGTGTGACGATATGGGCGAGTATGTGTGTCGAGCGACCAACACATTCCTCAACAGCAGTACAGAGAAATTTGTAACACTTTATGTATATTGTAAGTACTAATAATTAAACATGAAATTAATATTTATTTGAACGTAATAAATTGAAGTCTAATTTTTTTTACTTTTAAAAATATTCTTTTTATTGTAAGTCGTTTATTAATTTTTAAAAAAATATGTTATCTTTATATTAAAAATCTCAATGACCAAGTGGAAAATTTCATCAATTTAAATTTTTATTAGATTTTTTCGTATATATAATATATATTTGATATGATTGTATGATGGTATATATGTAACAAAATAATCATACAACTATGAACTGACTTTTTAAATATAGAAAAATTACATTCTAAATTTAATTTTATTATTTCTTAAACTATATATATATATATATATATATATATATATATATATATATATATATATATATATATATATATATTGTATCTCTGATTCGAAGGTTCACTTCAAATCTTAAATGATAAGATTGACAATTATAAATTCACTTCAAAGCTTGGCAGTAATTTTGTAACTAGTTTTGATGTCGTTGGCTACCCCGCCCCGACAAGTTTTGCACTGGCTGAACAAGAATCTGGTTCTGACAATGCCGTCATAATAAGCTCCATCTCGCAGAGTTATCAAAAGAGCAGCAAGTATAAGTTTGGGTATACACTAACCAACTTGCCCTATGGTCGTGTTTACGTTACGATCAATAATGTCAGTGAATCAGATTTGAACAGCTACACCTTGTTTGTGGATAATGGATATGGCGATGGTCTAATGTATAATTTTTCCATTGTAAAAGGTATGTGTATGTTTTTTATGCTCAATCGTATCATATTTTAGGCATGTACTTATCAGCTTTATAATTTTTTACCTTTGTGTAGTAGACTGTATCGTGTGGCGTAACGAGGTCGGGTGTCACCCGTTGCGGCACTTAATGGTGTCACCCCCTCCCACCCACCCCGTCCAAAAATCATATACATGGATTAACACATAATTTATTAAGATTCTCAACCAAACCTCAGGCATATTTAGCAATGTTACTTTCCCCCACTCACCCCCCCCCCTACCTCCACGGTGATTGCTTTAAATTGTGCTCAGATAATACTAACGGATTTTTTTTATCAATAGTCGGTTATAAATACAGCTTGACGTAGCATGTTTTCTCTATCATTAGCAGGTGTACGTTATGGTGTCAACCCCCCCCCCCCCCCTTTACCCTTGTCGGGATTTGTCAAATTTGCTCTTAAAAGGCTATTTAACACTATAATTAATCACGTGGTTAAGTGGAATTATCATTTTTCTGTCTATATTTTTGCTATTTTTTGCCTTGGTGTCACCCCCCCCCTAAATGATGTCACCCGGGGCGGTCCTCACACCCCCCTCTCCCCCATCGCTACGCTTCTGACTGTATCATAGTTATAACTATAGTTATTAATGCTCTTTATTAGTATTTTATGAGTATTAACATCGTTAGAGCTGTTTTATTTTTATTGTTAGTGCATTATATTTTCGACTAATTTTATTTACAATTTAAAAACTAACTAAATTACTGGGGGTGGGGGTCGGGAAAATTAACACTCATAACGTATTTGCTTATTTAATAATTTGACTCTCTAATTTAATTCAATTTCAAAACACACTTTTTATTTTTACTAGATTCGTATTCATATTGAAAAAAATGTAACAAGCAAATCTAATTCTAGCTAAAAATGAATATAATTAACAGCTGTTTAGAATAGTCCAATAAATTAATTTGTATAGTTACATTTCTAACATGCTAATTATGAATGATAATATTACATTTCTCTATATGTGACGGGACACCTACTTGTCTTATAAGGCGTATCCGGCTACCTCTTTAAAATAGTACAAGAACATTGTTCGTTGTTTTTGGATACAATTTTAAAGATAACGTAGGGAAATTCACACAAAATTTCCGGGTCTCAAAACAAACTCTTCAGACAGACTGACTGTAGAACTAGCAAATTTATGTTACTATATATATATATATATATATATATATATATATATATATATATATATATATATATATATATATATATATATATATATATATATATATATATATATATGTAAGTATGTATCTATAAAATGTTTATAACACCAAATTTTCAAATGCGCAGAAAATGAGAAAATATCAGAAACTAGCTTTTTTTTTTAAAGACACAAACTATGGTGGTCGTGAAATAATTTACATTTTATGTTATTTTACTCTCTCTCTCTCTCTCTCTCTCTCTCGCTCTCTCTCTCTCTCTCTCTTTAACGGGACGACTCATGTGTCAGGCGGACGGTAGCATGATGAAGAATCTAGCTTTTCTCGCATGTATGTTGGAAATCGCTAGACCAGTAGGCTGCATCGCACCGGTTGGTTTGTTACCGCCTTTGGGGTAACCATGCTGAGTCCCATCCCCCCCCCCCCCCCCAACCACCACGGAAACACGTCTACCACCCCCTCCCACGAACGAAATTTTAATTAAATATATATAAATATAAAACAACATAAGCAAACCTGTGTCGACACCACCCGAAAATTATAAGTAGACCACTCAAACACTTCAAGAGACCCCACCTCAGAGAAAAAATAACTGAAAAAAAAACCCACTGTTACCAAGCACACATGTTACCGTTAGACCTTCCGATTTGATTATAACCTATGCTATGTTTAATTTCTATAGACAACCACAAAAATGGACCAACAAGTACAGCGGATATTGATCTGCTTCCTGCAATAATAAGTGGGGCTTTGGCAGGATTGGTTATCGTTGGTCTTGTTATTCTACTCATTGTTAAACGTAAGTTGCTTCCCCTCATTCGAAAAAAAAATGCTAATCATTTGACAGAGACATACGTACTATGATAAATAGTAAAACGAATGACCAATGTTAGATTTAGGCATTTTAAAAATAGTTATTCATTTTCTTACTGTTAGAGCTGTTACTGTTATTTTTAGGTAAAAGTTTGCGTCGCATGTTCAGTAAAACAAGGTAAACTTCAACTGTTGTTATTTTTTTTATACGTAAACTCATTATTTTTTATAATAGTAATTAACATTATAGAGCACAGAGCTGCTAATTTAAACAATTATGTTAAATTGCTAATTTTTAATTATTTAGTTTCATTTAAAATGTTCTAAATTTTCAGATGTTTTGTGTTTTGTAAGAAAAAGAAGGATTTGTATGAAGGTATGGCATATCGCACAAATATAAAATATACCATTTAAAATAAAATATTAAATGACCTGCAATTTGCAAAATATAATTTCCTATTTATTTTAAAAATACATTTTAAAAATATGACAGTTTCAAACCAAATGTTTTAAGGTGTTTTGTGTTAGGAATACACTCTTTAAAAAACGACTACCTACAGATGATATAAAAGAAATAGTGTGTTATAATCTGTTATTAACAAAATTGTCCTCGTGGTGGCGCTAAACCAATTTAAAATATAATATTAAATGTTAGGCTTCAGAAATGTGAATCACAATAAAGTGTAATGTATTTAGTATATATTCTAATGGCTTTTTTCTCAATTTCGTAGGCTCTACTAACAACGAAGGCAGAGAAATGTCAAACACGTATATGAATATAGCAGGTAATAACGGTTTGGATTCCTAATTATGTAGAATTTAATTTCAAAACGGTGCAGTATATTTAATGGCTACAGTACATTACCCCCCCCCCCCCCGGACATTTTCCCCCGGAGTAATTACCCCCTGTCAATTACCCCCCTGGGGAATTACCACCCCCTCCCCCATCCATCAAGATAGAATCCTGATTCTAACTCCAGCTCTATACCATTATATTACCTTAACCCTAACCTTAAGACAAAGACGAAAAACCTAAGAATTCACCTCACCCTAAAATAAACCCAAAACCAAACCCAACTCTTGACATCCATTTAAGCCTAACCCTGATCCTAACACTAACCCTAGCCCTAACCCCAACCCTTGCTCCAGCCCTAGTCCTAGCCCTAACCCTATTCCTAACCCTAACCCTAGTGCTAACCCTAGAGCTAAACCTAGACCTAGCCCAAACTCAAACCCTAGCGCTAACCCTAGCTTAACCTTAAGCTATGACCGGGGGGGGTAATGTCCTACTGGTCGGGGGGGGGGGGGGGGGAATTGACAGGGGGTAATTGACATGGGGGTAATTACTCGGGGGGGGGGGGGGAATGGTGGGGGGGGATGTTCGGGGGTTAAATAGACAGGGGGTAATGCCCTGTTCCCATATTTAATTGTGTGAAATCTTACAGTTTTGACACATCAGCCATTGCAATTAGTTAAACGTATGTTTAATTATCGCAACTTAATTTATGATTTAATTAATGACAAGGTTTTTCAACAAATTGGCCTACATTTGAATTATTTATTAATTTAACTCTATTTGTAAGTAATCTCGTAAGTGATTAAATATGGGGAAAATTTAAAAAAAAAATTAAATTTCGCACTAATTAATCATAATTTTCTCTACATTAGATTTTGCCTAATTTTATTTTACTTTTTTATGTGTAATATTTAAGTTGCAAAAATATTTTGTTACGGTTTACTATATCGGTAACCACAAAAATGAAGTTTGCAAGTAAAAGTAGGCCAATTCATTTTTTAAAAATAAAACTAAGAAGTTTCACAAATGTATAACTCGTAATGAGTCTATGATATTGTATTTAGAAAAGAGTATAGTCAGCTGTTATATAATGTGGCTTAGTTGTTAAAACAATGCAATTAAAAAGGGCATGTTTTTTCTCACAGTGAATACTGATACTACCTTGAAGTTTCGCCAAAGACACGATTATGACGAAATTGATCTTGTTACTCAAGAAAATAATAGTATGAAGGTTTAATTTTTAGTTTGATTTAGTTGGCTAAGATGAATTAGAAGATTAAAAAACATTAAAAATAACTATTTTAGAAAAAAACAATTCTGATTTCAATCATATTATTTGAATTTATAAAAAAAAACATTATGACATGCTCTCCTAGAATCATGCTTCTGCTGTTTCAGATTCCAACTATGAGCAATTTTCAGTGGCGCCGAAAAGTCACTATCACAATGTAACCATAGGGTCAAGTATTTAATTACACAATCACAAGTTTAATTAGGGGCAGAAGACTTATTATTTAATTATTCATTATAGTAATAAGAGTTACTTAGAATCAATATATTTATAACTAATTCTTTTGGGTAATTTTTGGGATAATTACACAAAATGTTGGTAACTACATACATTGCAATTGATGTGATTAACGTGTGATTTAAAAACAAGATCTCTTAAGCTGAGTAGTTTTATTACATCGCTATAAATAGAAAATGTGATAATTGAGAGGTCTCTGTTTGGTTTACATAAGTATATTGTTTTCCATACAACTCTAAAAATTGACAGTTAAATTAACGTGTGACAATAACATTATGCAGATATCGCAATAATTAGACATTAAAACTTTACTAAACCATGTTTGTTGTGTCTTTTTTTTTTTAAGAAACAAATCGCCAAATACAGTTTATAGTTTAGTAAGTAACAGGGGTGCTGTGTATAAGAGGGTAGGCCTACTCTAAAATATTTCGTGTCAAGAAATAGAATGTAGGCCTATATTTAAAAAAAACATCTAAAAACTTTCAAATTATTGGCCACTTTACTGCTAAACTAATGTTTATGATCCATTGTATGTTATGTTGTTATTTGAAACCGCCTTTAATAAAACTTCGCTCTTCTAAATTTATTTTTTGGTTAATTTTTTTCTATTTGTAAATGTTAGTGCTTAATACATGCATACAAATAAGAGTTAATTAGTTTAAATGTCAAAAACGACATTCTCAATGGTTAATTTGTTCCACGTTAATTTTATTGTGAACTTATGGTAAAAAATCCTGTTTATTTCTCTATTGGAAATCTGAAAGTTACCAGTGGGGTTGTGCTTCTCGTCAGATATAATATAGAGACCATATTGCCATGCTAGCAATATGTTTGCAGGCATTACAAGACCTTTTCTTCGCTTGCAGATGCGTTTCCTGGATCACTATCACTAAGGCACTATATTGTTAAATTAAGATCAACGAGAACAAAAGAGGCGTAGCGACCCATTGCGGCGCCCGGCTTGAACTATTGAATTTGCGCCCCCCTCCCTTGTATTCATTCATAGTCATTTTTGATGGCTAACAAAATGCCCCCCCCCCCCACTGGCCATCCACTTTATCTATTTTTGGTACGATTTTTACCCCCCCCCCCCCCTCCTCTTCGTCACACATCGTCACAAAAAGCCAGAATCCCACCCAGGCAAAGAAATGACCCAGCACCTCAGAAAACTTTCAATTTGCTGTTGTTGTTTGTTTTTTTAATTAAACAACTAAAAAAAATTTCTTTCTAAAAATGATTACTGAACTCAGTTATCATTAAATAATTTATTGAGTTTCTATTATAATTTACAAAATACCCCCTGTAAAAACGCAAAATATAGGCTATTAATTCAGGTTCCAACATAACTTAACAAAACAACAACTAACTGCTTAATTGTTAAGAGTCCCTGAGATAACGCAATGTTAGGTAAGATTCAGATATATGTCAAATATAGGCGACAAGTAGAATACTAGCGAAGGTCAGCTATATATTTGGTCAAGCAGAACCAATAGCATTGAACTTGCAGTGGAACGAGCTGACCGGTCGTGTGTGGAACATCGAAGCCGACCGATATATCAACTTTGAACATCACCATGCTCGAAGCCGCTACCGCCACTGAGGTTGTTTTGTTGAAATTTTGTTTTATTACCGACATTCTACGATTTATTTTTTAATCGAATAAAGCAAATATCAATTTTGTTTATTTTCAAAAATATAGTTAAAATTACTTAACAAAACATACAATTACAATTTTTAAAGTGTTATTTGGCCTATATTTCTACGATTTCTACAACTGCAACAAAATACAAAGTGTTAGAGATCGGAAGTTGTTGGCCTTAATAAATAAACAATGTGCCTGGATATTCCTTCCACTGACTACATTATAATTTATATGAACACTATGACCCTAGCAAGTATGTTATATTGCTATTGCTTAAGCTTTGACCTATATTACAGTTTTTATATGCACCTACACTGACCACTCTTTCTGAGTCGACCGAGACGGGATTTTTCTGCCGCTGACAAGAACACGTGAGCGGGCGATCGTAGGAGAAGTATTGATTTTAAAATATTTAAACAAAATCTGATCTAGATCAAGAATTTAAAAAATAACATACTACAACGCTCGTGCTATATTTGTTTAGTTTTACGACTTTTCTCCTCGCACTTCTGGTGAGAAAAAAAAACAACACCCAAAAGCCTCAAAATTGAATCTTGCTATTTACCCGTGATTCCGCAGGTGTCTCGCATTTTACCGCATCGCAATTTCCCCAACATGCACTTTTAAATTTAATCAATGGTTTGATTTTTAATTAGGTAACACTTTGTAATTATGAAATCTTATAAACCAATTTTTTTGTCAGTCTTTTAGAAAAAAAAACAAAAAAAAAACAGCTATGTGCATGTTTGACTAGGCAAATTGGTGCGCATGATTGATGGTGCGGCCGTATATTGAACGAGTGAAAGTGTGACGTTTAAGTGTGAGTTCGTTGTTGCCGTCTGATCTTGAGCGTCGGTGTGAAAGGACGTTTGTTGACTTGTATGACTCAAGATTTGAGAGATGTGAATGGAAATGAAGATTATAAAGAAGTCTAATACAAGAATAAAGTGGAGGAAGGAATTACTGAGTTGGTCTTATCTATAATTTGTCATCTAGATGTGAAGTAGCCTAATAGTAGCTTAAGGTTGTAACCTCAATCCGGTAGTGGTATTTCATAGCATCGAACCAAGTGATGCAAAGCTCTGGCATAGCACACATGAGCAGTCGTAACAACCTACCTAACATTTTCAAACTATATAATAACATTCAAACTTTGTAGCGAATTCAACTAACTGATTGTTCTTGATCTTGCTATTTGAAATAAAACTGCATCGATTTGACTAGAATTAAGTAGGCCCTACCTATATAGTATAAGTAAGGACAATTTAAAAAAACTAACAAAGTTTGATATCTAAAACTTTAATGATAAAAGAAAATGTTTTAACAGTTATTTTACATAAGGAAATGTGAACCAGAGTACAAGGCATGTCAGATGACGATAGAATTGATGCTTATCTTAGACAGAGATGTTTAAAGTCATATTTCAGCTGTGGGTTCTTTTATGTCTGGATAACTGTTCGTTATGTGTAAAACATGTACCACATTTGTCACACTTGTAAGGCTTTTCTCCTGTATGAATTCTATTGTGGCTCTGTAAATTACTAAGCACTGTAAAACATTGACCACATTTGTCACACTTGTAAGGCTTTTCTCCAGTATGAATTCTATGGTGTCTCTGTAAAGTACCAAGCTCTGTAAAACATTTACCACATTTGTCACACTTGTAAGGCTTTTCTCCTGTATGAATTCTATGGTGTCTCTGTAAACTACCAAGCACTGTAAAACATTTACCACATTTGTCACACTTGTAAGGCTTTTCTCCTGTATGAATTCTATGGTGTCCCTTTAAGTGGCTAGGCTGTGTAAAACATGTACCACATTTGTGACACTTGTAAGGCTTTTCTCCTGTATGAATTCTATGGTGTTCCTTTAAGTTTCCAAGCTTTACGAAACATTTACCACATTTGTCACACTTGTAAGGCTTTTTCCCAATGTGTGTTATCTGCTTTTGATGTAAGTTTGATGACTGGGAAGAAGAATGTACAGTAGTGTCATCAATAGCATCCAAACCCCTACTGACAATGCCTTCACCTCCATGTCTGTATTTCAGATGTGTATTCAAATAGGAAAGTTTTGAAAAGGCCACTCTGCAATGCTGACATGGATATATATCTGCAACAAATGTTTTTATAAAAATAACTGACAACTTTATCGAATACATGAAACACATCTATATTTGAATAAAGGTTGCTAATAAAAAATACAGTTAACCTGACAATAAGTGTTAATCTTTTATAGTCTTTTACATTGTGAAGTGATTACTCAGTGATAATGTGAATAAAGATGAAGACAACAAGGATATAAAAACAATGAAAAGTATAATAAAGGTGGAGAGAGATGACTAAATGATACAGTGGCCAAAGTGATGACTGACTGATACAGTGGACATTGATGACTAATACAGTAGACACAGTAATGACTAAATAATACAGTGGACACAATGGTGACTGATACAGTGGACACAGTGATGACTGATACAGTGGACACAGTGATGACTGATACAGTGGACACAGTGATGACTGAATGATACAGTGGAAACAGTGATGACTGAATGATATAGTGGAAACAGTGATGACTGATACAGTGGACACAGTGATGACTGATACAGTGGACACAGTGATGACTGACTGATACAGTAATGACTGACTGATACAGTGGACACAGTGATAACTTACTGATACAGTGGACACAGTGATGACTGACTGATACAGTGGACACAGTGATGACTGTTACAGTGGACACAGTAATGACTGACTGATACAGTGGACACAGTGATAACTTACTGATACAGTGGACACAGTGATGACTGACTGATACAGTGGACACAGTGATGACTGATACAGTGGACACAGTAATGACTGACTGATACAGTGGACACAGTGATGACTGATACAGTGGACACAGTAATGACTGAATGATACAGTGGAAACAGTGATGACTGAATGATATAGTGGAAACAGTGATGACTGATACAGTGGACACAGTGATGACTGATACAGTGCACACAGTGATGACTGACTGATACAGTAATGACTGACTGATACAGTGGACACAGTAATGACTGACTGATACAGTGGACACAGTAACGACTGACTGATACAGTGGACACAGTGATGACTGACTGATACAGTGGACACAGTGATGACTGAGACAGTGGACAGAGTGATGGCTGAATGATACAGTGCACACAGTGATGACTGAATGATACAGTGGACACAGTGGTGACTGACTGGCACAGTAATGAGTGACTGATACATTGGACACAGTGATGACTGGTATAGTAAAGACAGTAATCTGAGTGATTACTGGCTGATACAGTGGACATAGTGATGGCTACTGATAAAACAGAATGACAAGTCAATTGTATCAACAATAAAGACTAAAAATGAGATAACAGAGATGAGATGATCAGTGTAAAGAACTGAGTAAGCTTATTACCACAGTCATTGTTCTCCATGTTTGTTAAACTGTTCTTGCTTACAACACCAACCCTCTGTACCTGAATGCCCAGGTCTCTGGCATAACTGTCACCATAGTACACCTGAAAATGACAGAATACTGTTCAGTAGCCTACTAGTTAACTTAAACACAAGATTCAATCCATTGGAATCATTGGGTGGGGCTAGGAAAAAGATTGTTAGCACAATTGCCTGGGAAAAAGTTTCCAACTTTAAAGTCATAGTAATAAACCATACACTAGACCCCTTCTTCTTAAATCTATTGAAGTGCTGCTTACCTCTAGATAGTTTATGACATATGTATTATGTAGCTTTTTAAACAATAGATTAATGAGTAATACATAAGACAGGATGACTTTATTTAAAAAATATTTATATTTTTGTTTTTTTAACTGTTTTTTCCATGTCTCACATTTTAAAAAATATTACAAATACAGAGTTATAAAGTAGCAATGGTTAGACAATATTAGTTGAAAACAATTTTTTTGTCATTAACACATTTCTTCTAAATTATTTTTTAACCAATTACCAGTGGTGCTAAGAATCCAAGCTCAAAAAAAGTGATCTACACCTGACATGATTGGGTTATTCTGACAAGAAATAACTTACTGTCAAGATCAATAAAATTTCTTTATTTTTGCAGTTAGTATGTTAAGTGTTGCACTTCTTAAATTGCAACATGGAAGAAAAAAATAATTCAATGGCTATGCCTGCCCCAGTGCCAGTGAGTTTTGAGTGTTTTGATGAAGCATCTAAGTTAGTAAGGGATGGCATTGGTTGAATGGTTGAATTTATGACTGTTAACCCAAATGTCTGAAGCTAGGATCATGGGTTCGTCTGTAGAACGTTCCTGAATCAACCCAGCTCTAATGGGTACCTGACTCCCATCAGGGAAACTAATGCGGCTGGCCAAGGTTATTGAAACAAATGAACTCTACTACATTTACCCCTTATGTCTTGGACATGAACAGGAAAAGATGATGAGATAATCTGTTAGTTACCAGTATTTCTGTGCCTGCACTGATGTCCCTATGAGCTCTGTAGTAGATTTCACCTTTGTGCTGGTATGCTGTGACACACTGCTCATCCTCACAGCGAGCACAGTTTACAAATCTCATCCAGTTAGAGTCTGAGCTGTCACTGGCATCAACAAAATGGGATGGTCTCCCATCCTTGAAAATCTGAGGAAGCATATAAATTAAAGAAATAATGCTTTGTGCATGGGAAACAATGAGTAAAATAAAAAAAAATTGATACATGTACTTTCCAAAAGAACATCTACAGATAAAATGGGCATTAAATGGGTAAAAACTTGTACTAGCATCAAACAGTTTCTTTCACTACATTGCTCACCTGCCAACAATACCCAGAGTCATGTGCCATCTGCTCATTTTTCTCTTTTTTCCCACCATATGGCCCAAACCTTGTCCGCGCAGGAAAGGATGTTAAGGCAAAAACACCAAGTCCAGCATCAGGTATGTTAGATGTTTTAATGACTAGACCAGGGGGCAGAGTTTTCTTACAATAATCATTGTCCTTTCCCCTGAGGCAGTCTGGGGGAACCTATTTCACCATAGAAAACTGCATATCATTTTTCTAATAGTTATTACTAATCTTATTTGTTATGCAACAATACCCTGTCTGGTATACCTGCCAGGCCTTAGTAAGTGAAGTTTTCAAGGCATTTAATCATCACAAATAGTGCATAGAAATAGAAAATATAAACTCAAAGCAGCACTGTTTTATTTACCTGTGAATCTAATAAAATATTTAAAGGACCATGTTCAGTACAATCTCCTATGTATTCAATGTTGCACTCTTCACAAACTGAAACACAAATGTAAAACATTTAAACTACAAAGAAGGATATCGTAGCACAACCAATTGAATTACCTTTTGCTAGTTCTACTCACTTGATGATACACAGATTAATGCCCAGCAGCAATATAACAACCGATTATAAGGACAACAGATTTAAAAGCATTTGTAGTTTAGTTCAGCAAACCTTTATGTAGAGTGTTTTTTTTAATTGTCAACAACTTTAACAAAAATAGATGCACAATCATATTGGTTATAAGTAAAAAAAAAACTGGCTAAACTCAGAGCATCTGCAGAATCTAAGTCCTTATGCCAGTGGTTAGGTGCTCTACTAATCTGTCCCCTAAGTACAAATAATATTTTAAATAGTTTTTTCATTCTTAAAACAGCAAACACAGTGAAAAGGTGGGATACAAGACATATGATTACACTAAAGTAGTTTATAAACAGGGAAGAGCATGATCGGAGGGTTGAGCTTATGACTGCTAACCCAGAAGTCATGGGTTTGGATCCCAGACTCAAGTCTGTAGGGAGGTTTATAAGTCCATATAATTCTAAAGGGCACCTAACTAAGATAAGGGTGGGCAAAGCAGGAAGAGATGATAATGATTTGATAAACGAGTAACAGGAATAATTATCATGTACAAAACAGCTAGAATTGATACTCATGTACACACAAAACAAGACAAAAAATATATTCATCTACAAAAGAACTAACAGAGATACTCATCCTATACAAAATAGCTAAAACAGGAACTAATTGGGAAACTTATTAAGTACAAAAGAACTAACATAGATACTCATCATATACAAAATAGCTAAAACACAAAAACTTATCATGTACAAATAAACTAACAGAGATACTCATCGTCTTCAGGAATGTGCAGAGACATGTAGCTGGTCACTCTTTTCCTACGTAGAGGATATGTGTGTCTTGCTTCTTTCTCTATCGCAGTTTTTGATGGAAACCAAGGCTGCCTATTTTTAACTTGTACTGCCTAAAGTTTAAAATTGTAAAGATTAACAATATATGTTAATGCTGTGTACGGTCTATGTAGCAGTATTATAATTTAGGTAAAGAGGAACGTAGCAGTTGATTTTGAACCCCTATCCGCTTATTTACTCTGGTTGGATTTTATAGAGCAATGGCTTTGATAATGTTTTGGAAGAATACTTTTTGCATAGGAAGTTTTATGAAATAGATGCAAAAAAAAAAAAAAAAAATCTCAACCTTTGGTTTGGTTTTCTCTTTACTCATCTCAGGATGACACAGAGCAACATTTGTTGTCTTTTTTCTCTCTCCACCTATTTACATATACATTTGTTAATGCAATGAAACATTTTACCCATCAATGAATTCATTCTTGCCTTCTTTCTCTCTCCACTCATATACACATAGTTGTTGAGCCAATTAATTTAACATTTGACACATCAAACAAATCATTCTTATTTTCTTTAGCACAATCAGATGTTAATTCAATAAAACATTTGAGACAACAAACAGCTGATTCTATTTTTTTTAAGTTTTACTTCGTGGTGTAGCCTCCAATGCTGGGGTCCAGTCAGAATCAGAATCATCAGAATCTGAGGATAAGTCTAGCACCACTTTTTTCTTCTTTTTCTTAAGCATAAATTCAGGAGGCTCTACTGAAAGGCCTGAAAAAATAAATTTATAAAAATTATGTAAAGGAAAACTATTTCTAATTAAATGGGACAAAAAATGAGAACATGTCCAATATTTAACTCTACTTAAGAACTACATTAAACTTGCATAGAGAGTGCTATAAAATCAAGAGAAAGAAAACAAATAGAAAAGAACATGTTCTTAAAAAAAACCTATTTAAGGCTCTGCTCATGACTATTGAAAATTGAGGCCTTATATAACAACATTATTATAAAAGTTTGTAGATAGACCTTGAACAGAAAACAAAAATATACATACTAAAACTAAATGGCAAATAAAATCTTACCTGCACTTCTTAGCACTTCATAATTTTGCCTCAAGCTGCTGAGATGCTTCTTTTCATATTCAGGTATAGCAGCAAATTCTTCAGGTGTAAAAAATTCTTTTATTGATGTGGGCAAATGTTCTACTTTTAGCTTCATGTTTTCCATAGCTGAAAATACAACAGTATTTATTTCATCAGTTATAAAAATATTTCATTAAATTTAAGAAACCTTTTCTAACATTTTATTGCTAATCTTTAAAAAGTGTTTTTAAAAACAAAAAAAAAAGATGATTTTTTGGTTTACAACTTTTAATATTTAAAATATAAAAAAAACTTAATTCCTTACGATAACCTAGGAAACACTAAATAGTTTTTATGTCCCTGCATTTGAGGGTTCTTCTAGTAGCACCATTGAGCAATAGATCTCAAGCACCTGTGTGGAACTATCTTAAGCCACTGTTCCCTTACTAGCCCCTGTTTCTTTAGGCCTACTAAACAACAAATGACTATGTGCAGGAGTAGACATCTCTCTTGATTTTTCACATTTGCTTTTGCTCACTCAATGAATTAAGTAACATTTCTAAATTCTAACTGATCTCATTGTAGTAAATAGATCTAATTACCATTCTGTTTAGCAGTGACCTTCACAAATCTCAGAGCCAGACTTAGAATTTTCTATAATGAGTCAAATTTTACCTCCTGGAATTTTCTATAATGAGTCAATTTTACCTCCTGAACTAACTTGGTCCTTAAATGAATTTGGTGATTACTGTTTAGCTACAAAGTAGCTAGTCTAGATCTAGAATTTACATACTAAATTATTTGACTAATGATCGTAGCTTGCTTTAGACTTTAGATTTAGAGTATTAAAATACAAAATCTAGATCTCTATGCTTGTCTTTATTAAAGACATTGTCTTCATTTGTAGTAAATAATATTAATATATAGATCTATATCTAGATCTATAATATAAATATAGCCTCTATAGTACTCTATACAATCTAGATCTAGATTAGAGTCTAGATCTAATTTATAAAGTATATGAAGTTTTAGTTTTACAACATTTTTTAAAGTTAGTTTTAGATCTAGACTTCTAGACTCTAGTTGTAATAAATATAGACTCTAGATTCTAGATCTAGATAAGTAGATATTTCTAGACTAGATCTAGACTAGATCTAGATCAATTGTTCTGAACAGGGTTTTATTGAACCCCAGGGTTTCGGTGAGTGAGTCTCAGGGGTTTGGCAGAGGTCAAGATTAGAATAGATATTACTTAGAAATCTAGATCTAGCTCTAGACTAGATCTAGATCTTCTAGAATCTAGATGATACTACTAGACTAGATCTAGATCTAGTATTTATTACTAGATCTAGACTAGATTCTAGAGATAGATCTAGAATCTAGATCTAGATCTAATCTAGAGCCAGAGCAGTCTAGCTAGTAGATCTAAGTAAGTAGACTCTAGAAATCTAGATTACTAAGATTAGATTTAGAATAGAAGTCTTTCATTCCAAATCTTCTATTCTATAACATAAATATTACGAATAACTAGATCTAGCAATAGATCTAGATCTACACTTCTAGATTCTATACAAACTTTAACTGTAGGCTGTTTTTGATAATTCAGATCTTTATCTAATGTTGAATTCTTGTTGTAGCGCCAGAACTTGTCGTCTGCTAGCCTAGTAGCTCAGTATCGTATGCCTAATGACTGATAGCGTAAAGATAAATGACCGATTCCGTAAATTTATGGATATTTTAAAGTCCAGTAACATTTTATAAGAATGTAAACTCATCTTTTTTTTTTCAGTAATTCTGTATTTAACATTTCTAGCAGCAAACATTTGAAAGCATCAAGAAGGTATAGATCTAGTCTAGATCTAGAGAATTCGAACATTTGTCAAAGGATTTCATAGTCGGTTCCTTCACAATCCACAAACTATTAGACTCGATTTCTCGCTGAGGGGAAGTAACCCTATAAAAAAATATAATTAGGCCTACATACTAGCCTACATATTAATATTTAATATTAAATAAATTAATAATGATGATATCATCGTGCTGTCTCATTTTGGCCTAGCCTTTAAAAGAGACTTATCAAGCAGTTTAATGTTGCTATACGATTATATTGGCTGACTATACATAGATCTAGATCAGTGGTTCCCAAACTTTTTCGAGTGGCGACCCCCTTTTATAAAAAATAAGCGACCCGCGACCCCAATATAATTAAAAAGTCGAAATTAGTGAGGAAATTAATAAGCACTAAAATACGATTTTCTAGTATACTTTTAATATAAATTATTCTTGATAACTTTTATTTCGATGGTTGAAATTGAATGCCTATTACTAGCCGCAACATTCGCGGTTGAATTTTTGTTAGCATTAAATTTCTTTCTTTTTTTTTTTTTTAATTGGAGAAGACACAAAATGAACTAAAATTCGAAAGGCAATCGATTTCAGTTTGGGTATGAACGGTGCATACTACACCAAAATATTTTAGCAGTTTTTCATTTAACACGAAACGTGACGCGGAATCATTCCGCAAATTTAAGAATTCATCTTGTAATTCATCGGGAATGCTGGCAACATCAAGGGAATCAAAGAATGGGTAACGTGTCAATGCAGATTGTTCTTCTTTCAGCTCAGGGAAAATAACACCGCAGTTCGTTTTCAAGAGATTCAAGATGTCCAGAAATCTCCGCTTTTAAATTTTTATTTATCTCACAATCAGATTCATCTATCACACTGCAGAGTTTCTCAAACATGGCAATATTTCCAATATTTATTTTTCGTCGACAATTTTACAGCTGTGATAAAAATCAGAGGCGTAGCGAGGGGGGGGGGGGCGGACATATGTCCCCGTGCGCCAACCTTAGGGGGCGCCAAAATGGGTTGGATAAATAAATCGAAAGTTTGAAGGGGGTGTAAATCGAAATCTTGAGGGAAGGGAGGGGGGTGCAAATCGAAAATTTGTCCCCCGGCGCCGGGAAGGGTCTCCACGCCTCTGATAAAAATGACAAGAGATTATCTTGATAAGAGACAATATTCGTTCATTTTTATGTTAAGCTTATGTTGCTGTTCGAATATATCTGCCAGGTATGCTACTCTCTCCAACTACTTACTCTTCGCCGTTAAAGAATATCAAAAAGTCTTGTTTCCCATTGCACTTCCAAGAACAACTTGATTACATATTTCAATTCAAAAATACGATTCACATTTCCTATTGACACCCAACGTACTGTAGTGTAGAACCTCGTGATATTTATTCACGTCTTTGCACAGTTCTTGAAACAGACGAGTGTGTAGGGCTCCAGATTTAATATAATTTATCTCAATGAATCTATTTCACAAAGACAAACAACTGGTAACACGAACTCTCGTCTGTTGATCAACTTGAAAATCAAACAATGGTGAAAGTTTGATTTCATTCAAAATTAGTTTTTTCAACATCTATGGCGTGTCTGCTAGATAGAGATATGTGTTTACTGCACTGTAATACCCAATAATTAATTTCACCATCCTCAACATGCAGGGTTTGATGAGATTTTCTCCTATTGTGTGAGGGTTTTTTTTTTTGCTTGGCAATTTCTAATGAGACTTTATATGATGTTTGCTCCAATATCGCGTTTCCTTGGTTCGATCAAGTCTCTGACGTTAACAACTAGCTTCACGACGAAAGAACTCCATATCTAAGTTATCTTTTTTGATGTGCTCCGAATGACTCGTCCCAAAATGACTTTTTAGCTTTGAAACCTCTATAGACTCATTAGTGATAACAACTTTGCACAGTAGCCTACGCATTATTTCTTATCTATTCCATTTCCAGTGATGTTAGTAAAGCCACATTTCAGAATGATATTCTTCTATACATTTATGTTTTTTTTTTCATTGCTAAGGTTTAGTCTACCAGTTGGTGACCCCCAGAAAGCCCTTCGCAACCCCCAGTTTGGGAACCCATGATCTAGATATTCTAGTAGAACATATGATTTACTCTAGATATCTAGATCTAAATGTCAACTAAAAACTTTCATATTAACCTTAAAAAGTGTTTTTAAAAATAAACACAACGTGAAAAATATTTTTATGGGGGGGGGGGGGGGGGGGCGGACACTAGTAAAAGTGTATGTTTACTATATAAATTCAATCTCGTTCGGGGTGGGGCGGTAGACTTTCTCCGCCCCCCCCCCCCCCCCCCCCGATGAGATGATGGGTAGGCCTAGAAAACAAAATCCTTTGCTACATTTTGCGCTCTCGCAAGAATAATCATAGCGGTGGTTGTGTAAACTCGGGCTAGGCACTGTGCTGTATTCACAAGAAAACAATCAGCGCTGATTTCATTTCAAGATCTCTAGATTTTAACCAATAAGTTAATAAAAAAAAATAATCGACCGTCGGATTTTATTGCTATAGGCATACACGTGCAATATTATTGTGAATGGAAAATATTCCATACAATACCATTTTCCCCTCCTTATCTACGCAGCGAAGTTGCTAGCAAATGTTGATTCTTTTAGAATAAGATATTTATTAATTTTTCAAGCACATATTCGAAGAAAAAAAACGAAATTTTCAAATGAAAACTCTTTTAGTCAAGAGTCTAGATAATGATATAAGATCTAGGCTAGACTCTAGAAGTCTAGATTTATGTCCGGAAGTAGCCAGAACATCTACAAAAAGGGAAGTTTTTAAGTTTAAGATGAGCCATTTCTTTTCTAAAACGTAATTTTTAGATCTAGATCTAGATCTACATAATCTATGTCTATCTGAGTCTAGAACTAGATTCTAGATTAAATGCTTATGTAACAAACACAATTATTCTTAATAAAACTTAGAACTCTAGCTAGATTTATAAAAATAATGTATGATCATTTATTATTATGAGATGCCATCGATCGAAGTCTTTATCAATTTGATGTTTCTTATTTTGGAAAGTGCAAGATTATTGGAAGGTAAAGTTAAATATAAATAAAGACTAGAAATCTAGATCTAGACAAATTTTAGATCTAGAATCTAGGGATAGATCTAGAATCTAGATTCTAGATAGAACTAGATCTAGAATCTAGAATTATGAATATATCTATTTTCCTAGTAGATCTAATAGATCTAGTCTAGAATCTAGATCTAGAGTAAAGTTCCACGCGCGGTTAAAACACCGGTGCGGTCATCGCATGTTTATCGCTTCGTACAATATTTGTTTTGATGTTTTATACGAAACTACCGATATCTGCTGTAAACCTGTCCATTTCTAAATATATCCAGGTCAAATTCTTTTGTTTTTCTCCTTCTGGAAGTCGAGTTTTTAAATTTTAAAGTTTCGAGGTATGACGTCGAAGGCGATTCTAATTCCCCGTATGAAAAACACTAAGTCCCGGATGAGATGAATAAACCAACCAATCAAAGCTTTTTATAACTAGGTTAACTATAAATAGCTTCTACAATATGTGCGGGACACTGTACATACGATAGATTAGGCTAATAAAGCAACCTGATAGGTGAATAGGGGTGGCCGCAGCTTGGGTGTCGATTTGGGTGGTTTCACCGCGCTGCGTAACCAACGACTTGAGCTAGACTAGCCTAGTTCTAGATGCTCTACATTTCAAGCTAAGCCTAGAATCTGTATAATTTCTATTTTTTTCTGCTGTTTTAAATTATTTCGATCATCTACTTCTTCTAAATCTAGTTTGTGTCTCTACATACAAGCATATCTAAGCAAATGTTACGTTATGTCTTGTCAGTGGTTGTTACGTCCCTTTGTTATGATTATTATAGTTGCGTCCCTTGAGTCATCACTGGGTCAACTTTTAATGTCGTTAATTAATTTAATTAACATGTTTTTAAAAATGGTTTTGAAATCTATTAATTAATAATACAATCAACAACACGTTTAAAAGTGTAAAATATTTATTTTATTTATTAAACTAGGATTAAAACGTATAAAACACGATCGTTACGCAAGCCGGTTCAGATGGCCGCAGGGAAAAAAAAAGAGGGGAAAAAAATATCGCAAGTAGCACGTCACTAAAACATGAATATCTCAAATTCAATGCGTAGGAATATAAAATGATTGATACATATTAAGAGTAGAAAGGCAGAGGAATAATATAGTACTTTGGGTTTGTTTCTGTGTTAAACGGTTACAAAATAGCGCCCGATGAAAGTCGATGAAAGTCGGGAGTTCGCTATGTGTGACCGCGCGTGGAACTTTACTCTAGATCTACTTACAAAATACTAAATAGTAAATAGATCTATTAAAAAATAGATTCAGATCTAGATCTAGTCAGATTTATAATTAGTACCTTACGTTACTACTAGTTTACCGATCACTGGCTTCACAGTATTTAATTTTATTAAAGTGTTATTAAAAATAGTTGGTGGTAGGACAGTGTTTAAGTTTTTCAACTGTATGTCAGTGAAGTGTTGGTGCTGCTAACTAGATCTAGATCAGAGTTTCTTCCTGGCAACTTCTAGGGGGGGAGATGGGGGGGGTGGCAGATGAAAATTATATAGAAAAAATTTATATACGTTTAACAGCTTCTGTGCCGCCTCCCCCCACAAAAATTTCGTGCCTCCCCCTCTACTGGAAATCGTATTACTTACTAGAATAATAGGCTACTAGAATCTAGATTCTAATTACTAGTCTTACATTGTCTTACCATTACAGTGCAACATTAAAAATGAATTTTTATTTCAGGACAGTCTGTAACATTGTCTTACAGTGCAACCCCCAACTCATGCACTGATGGCGATCTTCTAGAGGGAGTTGATGTCATCACTCTCACTGGGGAAATAAATCTGGAAGGTCAAAATTCAACTGATTGGAACCTTGATATTCCATTTCAGTTTAGAAAGAATGGTGCTCTTCAGTTTCAAACTGTAAGAAAAGTTTTATTTTGTATATAGAAGAAGGTTTAAAGTTATCCAAAAAAAAAATTCTTATGATAAAGTGTTACAAAATCTAGTAAAAATATCACTTATTTTAAAATAATACAGAAAAATTATTGTAAGGATATTACTTACTTACTTACTTAATCCTCATCACTCCCTGTGGAGTATAGGGCAACAACTTAATCCTCATCACTCCCTGTGGAGTATAGGGCAACAACAAATCTCCGCCATTCCACCCTGTCCTGGGCGAGCCACTTTAGTTCATGCCAGGTTTTGCCAGTAGCCTGTACCTCTTCTTCCATCTCCCTCCTCCATGTTCCCAGTGGTCTTCCTCTACTTCTCTTTCCGGGTGGGTTCCACTTCAACGCCATGTTGGGGAGTCTTTTTTTGCTCATGCGTAGGACATGGCCCAGCCATCTCCATCTCCTCGTTCTAACTTCTGAGACAATGTCGTATAATCCTGTCCTTCGCCATATTTCCTTGTTCGGGACTTTGTTGTCCCACTTTATCCTGAGGATGCGTTGGAGGGATCTTCTTTCAAAGCCTCTGAGTCGGCTGTCTACTTTCTTGTTTAGTTTCCATGACTCTGCAGCATAGAGGAGTACAGAACGTACATTAGACTTATAGATCCTTATTTTAGTTCTCTGCTGCAGTGAGGATGATTTCCAGATCTTAGCGAGTCTGTTGAAAGCTTGTGCTGCCATTGCTATTCTGGTGGCAATTTCTTTCTCCATGCTGCCATTTGCTGATATATAGCTGCCGAGGTACTTGAAGTCTTCGACCTCTTCTAGCTCTGCTCCATTCGCAAAGGTCTTGAGAGCACTTTTGGTTTTTATTTTCATTAGCTTGGTTTTTCCGGAGTTTATCTTTAGCCCAACGCTTTTGGCAATTTGCTCTATTCTTGTGGTTTTCGCTTGGATGTCTTTTTGGGCATGTGAAAGTAAAGCCAAGTCATCAGCAAAGTCACAGTCCTCTAGGTGGTTTGTAAGTTCCCAAACAATTCCTCTTGGCTTATCCTCAGTGGCTCTTCTCATAATCCAGTCTATTACCACCAAAAAGATGACAGGTGAGATGACACAGCCCTGTCTGACTCCTGTTTTTACCTTGAACCATTCACTTTGTTGATTTTCGTGTCGCACACAGCATTGATTATCATAGTACATGTCCTTAAGTATGTTTATGACTTTTCCTGGAAAGCCATATAGCTCTAGTCATGTAACGACCAAATATTTGTCTTGCGCACTATAGTGGAACAGTCCCTGGAGTGGAATTCGTCTCTCTACATCAACTACATAGATTTCGAGAAAGCATTTGATAGCATCCACCATCCATCATTATGGAAGATACTAGAGCTATATGGCTTTCCAGGAAAAGTCATAAACATACTTAAGGACATGTACTATGTAAGGATATTAGCTATGGATTAATTCAAAAAAAAAAAGCAGGCTAAAATGAAGTCAGCTCCCTATATGTCACATAACATATTGACATGTAATACTTAGAAATCTAGTTGTGTTGGAGGAAATCCCATCCAACATTACAATTGAGAAGAAGAGTGAGGATTAGGATTGTATTTAAATAATGTTCAAGAGCATGATATACACTAGTGCAGTTAACAAAACTTTATATCATTTGTGTTCACTTGCATGCCTGTGTTTCAACATAGAATTAGGCACACACACAAAAACTTTGAAAATGCTTTAGGTTAGCATTAGTAAGTCACATAAGATTTTAATCTTCATTATTGTTCAATATGACGTAAACATTTAAAAAACCTTTAATTAGATATCCATTTTAATATCAATATTAATCTATAGCCTAGAAAATGCTTTTTGAAAAAAAACTTGTTTGTGTTTAAATGGCTACAGTGCTTTGACTGTTACGGTGGGTTAGTTTTTAAGTAGTGTTGTTGTGATGCGATTAATCATTCAGCAAAACATGTCGTCTGCTAGAATTCTTCCCATTCAAATACACAATGAGCAAATAGATGAGCGTAGTTGGGTGTTGTCTTGATCAAGTTATATTTTTTACCCCGATGAAGTTTTGCTTATCTTATGTTGTGCTCAATATTCTTAGCCTGAAAAAATTTACAAAAGGCAAGTTTACATTTAGCACTAATCAACCATTGTTAAAACTAGATAGGTCTCATTGAATAAAACACAAAAATAATTGTTACAAGTATGTGTTGTTGAAATTACCATAAATCATTGTTTAAAAATAGAAAGTCAGAATCATCGTTTTTGGCAGCCATTATTACCATGACGATGGTAAAAAAGCTTAGGTAATGCGACTGCCTATTACCATTGAAAGATTCCTGTTAAGATTCTGTTAAGATCTCTATAACTTTACCCAGTAAACCAGTAAAGGTCAATGACCATGTTGCTGAGCACACAATGCCAAGGTCACATAAATAATTTAACCCTATTGCAACTGCCTTAAAACACTTCAATGACTAAAATTATATACAAGAACTAAGTCGGATTGTAAGGCATAAGCTTCATTTTTCAATTAACCATTACATTATTTTAAAAGCCTAGAATAATATTTTGTTTGTGCTGTTCTTCTAAATTTAGATTTAATTGTATGTTTCCCCAGCTCTGCACAGTTCATATGAGCAGCTACTGCCAGACTGACGGCAGTGAGTGTTACTGTACGGCACGTTCAGGGAATGTTTACCACTTCACATTCACCAGGTTAGCAGCTCTGTGGCTGAGTAACTCCACAGCAATGACTGAGCTGGCAAAGTTGAACACAACTGATGTAATAAGGGCTTACACTGATGTCCCTGTTATTCATGGTAAATGTTTGGCTTTTCTTGTTGGTTTAAAAATTAATGGTAACATACATTGTTTTATGTGGGACGGAGTGGTCTAGTGGTAGAGAGCTGGACTGCTATCCCATAAGTCTTGAGTTCGAATCTGGGTTCAAGTCAGTAGACCGTCCATGAGTCCACCCAACTCTGATGGGTACCTAACTCACGTTAGGGAAAGTAAAGGCGGCTGATCATTGTGCTGACCACACTATCTCTTCATATGCCGAGGTCACTGAAACAAGTGAACTCTGCTTCACTTGCCCCATAGTAAGGGAAACTTTACTTTACTTTATACATTGTTCCATAGATATAAAGGGTAGACCATAGAGATTTTCTAATTTTACTTAATATTTTTAATAGATAGGCTTATATTAAAACCAAATATTTTTTCCTTTTCTATATATTTATTGATTAAAACACTTATTTCAGTACTAGAATGTTTGGTTAAATTGATTATTGTGCTTGCATCTTCAGTTTTTTTAATCACATTGATAGGCTATTTAAGAGTTTTTAAAAAAAAAATTTACTCAAAGTAATATTTAACACCAGCTGACCCACGATGTAGCTTACACTGCTACAGGGTTCCCGCGGCCTCCTGAAATTCCAGGATGTCCTGGAATTCTCCTGGAATTTCAAAAAACCAGAAAAGTCCTGGAATTCTCCTGGAATTTTAACATTTCTCCTGAAATTTTGTAATATGTCCTGGAATTTTACTCGCATCGATAATTTTAGCGAATATTTTTTTCTTGCGTTAGATTTCTAGGTAATCAGATCTGACCGCCCCAGTAAAAATGGTCTGCCTTTTCGATTCTTCGCGTTACAAGGCACATATTTTAAAATATAGACATAAAGCTGTCTTTAACATGTGGGTTTGGTTAAAAAAAATTTCTCACGTCTTTCTATGTGTGCGGCTCTGTTTAATAGGCCTGACTTTTTTTTTAAATTGGAAATTTCAAGTAGGCCTAGGCCAAAATCTAGTTTTTGCGCAGCTAATTTGAATCTACAGTCCTAGATCTACTTTCTATTTTTACATGCGTGTTGTAATACTACCACCCTCCCATCCCGCATCCCAGTTTCTTTCCCACGATAGGGTGGGGGAGGGAGGACCGCTGGTTGGGTATATGAAGTGAACTCTGTGTGACCCGCTAGTGATGTCATCAGCAGTATACTACAGGCCAACCGTAAGCGAGATGAACTCAAACTGACCCCGCGCGACCGTGTCTAGCTGGAGGAAAAAATACGCTACCGGCATTAAAAAAAAAAACTATCTGAAATTCTATTTTTGGCTGAAATATTTTAAATTTTTCAAGTATTAGGGGTCGTCCATAAATGACGTCACACACGTAGCGGGAGGGGGTCCGTAATTTTGTGACGGTGTGTAATGGGGGGGGGGGTTCAGATGGTGTGACGTCACACTTTTGCATCATAAAAAGCAATGTTAGAAAACGAATTTTAGCCATTATTTCGCGTTTTAGAAAACTGTTTTAATAAATTGCAATAGGAATTGATCAAAATACTCTATGTTGACGGCGTTCTGACAAGATTTTGGAAAAATATCGATGTTTTAAGAAAAAATCAACATCAATTTTGAGAGGGGTTGTAGGCTGAGGTGTGACGTCATTTTAGGGGGTGGTCTGGCTTATTGTGACGACATGTGCCGGAGGGGGGGGGTAAAAATCGTCAAAAAAGCGGACGTCATTTATGGATGACCCCTTGTCCTTTTTTCCAAAATACAGTTTATTTTTAGTAGGTCAAATCTAAGCTACTCAGGTTGATCTACTTGTTCATCAAATGATAAAAAGTTAAAATTACAGTTATGCTATTTACTGTTGAAGACTCCCATTCAAATCACAATGCCATGTCCATTTTTAAAAGACAAGACATGGTTTCAGCTGTTCTGTTTGTTTATAATTGACATTGTTAGTACGGATGATGACATTGGTGAGGGGTTAAGTCACTTGACACTGGGATATAGCTATGATTGCTAGGCTCAATATGTTTCTCAGTAGCAAACATCTTAATTAATTTATAATTATTTTACTAAGTGAATTTACTCACACTATTTCAGTAATCATTGAATTGAAAACAGAAGTGCAAACATATAATTGATTAATATTTTAAATTAGTTTATTGCTGAAATTGTTTTCTAATATTTTTAAAGTTGTGAAATTTTACTTTTTTTTTGGGGGGGGGGGGGGTGGAATAATAAAGAACTGTTATTTTCAATAGTCTGTTTACATCTCTGTATAGTATAATTTATTTCTTTTGTGGTAAGTCAGGGTGGGAAATTTATGAGATCAATTTGTGACAACAGGCCTTAGAACTGGTGCTGGGGAGGGGGTTTATAAACAGGCTTAATTTATGGACAGTGAGTAGTTTAAGAATAGTGTCACATTTATATATTAAACTACTCATTGGCATAAGTGGGGGGGGGGGGGGGGGCTGATGAAAAGGGATAAAAAATTTGTTTACAAAAAGCTCATTTTATGCTGAAGTATTGAATTATACACAGTCAAAGTTAAGAAAATAAACTGCTACAAGACTACACACTGATTCAACTTTTCTCTACCTCAATTGTGTAGTAGAAAGATAAAAATTGTTACAGGATAGTGACTGGTAAAAAGTGCCACCAAATTTTCCAAAGGGGGGGGGGGGGGAGAGAAAGGAGAGATAGCAATTTTATAAATAACAATTTATAAATGGGAGGTGTGGGGTGCAAAATTGAATCTACTTTAACTAAACTAAATGGTTTAGAAACAGTTACTTTTAAAAATTACAAATGCTATGCTACATAGCATTTTATAAAGACCACTTCCTATTTAAGAAATGTCAAACTCCCTTCCATTCAGCGCGGGGTTGAGTCGTTGTTGCTTTTTAATAGGTTAAATTATGTCCTGGAATTTTGGTTTTTCTCCTGGAAAACTCCTGGAATTCTCCTGGAATTTCAAGTTCACTTTGGTGTAGGAACCCTGCTGCTATCTAGTTGTTAAGTTTTCTACTTATCAACAATTCATAATTTGTGAATTCAACAATCTATTGTAAAAACAATATCAGTTGTTATATCTATAAACACTGAAGTAATTATAACTGTCAGTCCATAATAATTTCTCAAGTTTTATATTAATTAATATTTGTACTATATTTTGTTGTAAGAAGAAGCAACTCTTTTATAAAGTGCCATTTTAATTAATTGAAAACATTTTATTTTTCCAAGTAACATAAACCTACTGGTTGCACTTGAACCTTCAAATACATTTCTTAAAAAATAAAATTGACTTTTATAATAGTAGGCTATATACACAATTATTTCTGAATTTTATTTGCATAACTGGCACAATATTTTCATGAACAGGGAAAGAAGTTGTTCGTCTCTCCAAGGATGGTAAATCATTCCACTTATACAAATCATCTATTGAGCTGGACCAGAACAAGGTCCACACGTTTGAGTTCTGTGTGGCTAATTTAAAAAACCCTGTACTAAAGATGCAATTTGGTTCTGAAATTATACCAAGCCAGCATTCCCAGTGCATATTACATCGCATAGAAGCTAATGCTGTATGGTCTAATAAGACTTGCATAATCAGCTACACTGATGATTGTCATAGAAGTAGATTTTTTGCTTATCGGATTGGTAAGTAAGCAAGTGCCTTTTATACATTCAAGATTTTAATTAACCAGTGTTTATACATACATTAGGTCTAATGTAAAACTTCAAAATTTTGAAAAGCATATTTCATGGTTAGAGGTTAGGTTAGGTTTGTCTATTGTCCCTCCTGGCACATAGGCTGCTGACAAGAGCTTTTTAGGCGCCTCTGTCCTGGGCTAGTCTCTCCAACAGTCCCCAGGTGTATCCAATCTTCTTGGTGTCTTCTTCCAGGTCACATCTCCAGGTCATGGTTAGAATTGTTTGGAAAATCTTAAGTTTTTTATTGTGATTAAAAAAAAAAATTTGGGATAAATATCTTCTAAAGAAATAAATTGTCTTCAATATTACCAATAATAAAACTACCATGAATTGCCATTTTAAAGACAATAGTCAGTTTCTAAGATCGTTTAGCTTGAATTTTGTATAGCCAAATTGTAGGTAACTGCTCAGGTATATCAAAATTCTCTGACAGTCATTATAGATGCATTAGTTATTTTAAGTAACAGCTTTTAACATTCAACTTTAGTAGGATGCTCATATCTTGGATTGAACATTTAAAAACATAGGTTTTGAAAACTTGTGCAAACTTTTACTAAATCTTAACTGAAAAAGTATAGGTCATATTTGATAAGTACATAAATGTGTATTTAATGCTAGTTCAGTACAACTTTTTACAGAAGAAATTTAAGACTTGTATTTTACAGCAGTAACAATAGATAATATCCTTTTCAATTTTGAACACTAGTAAATAATCTGGCGTTTAAGATACACTAGTGCCAACTAGTGCAGCAATAAAGGAATCTCCTGATAATAAAGCGCAAGTGATCGCCCCTAAACTTTTACATTACACTACTGGGAATAACAACTCTTGATATAGATATGCTATTGAATAAATATTTACATACTAAACTTTTTAAAATAGAATAGTATCTTGTAGATAAAAGAATTAAGCAGCAAGTGAACAGAACAAAATGCATGTATAATAGTGCTGAACATTAGGGCTATAAATTCATATGCGTTTTTTGAGAAATCTGAAATAGTATCAAGTACTACTTCATTTCACCGGAATTTAACTCAAAATTTAACATAATACAGAGAATTAGATCTTTTACTTTTATTTGAAATTTTATTTATCTATCTAAACAGTACTCAGATTACAGGCTTTTGAAAATCCACAAATCGTTGATACAGAACTACAAACTTGTTACAATAATTAAATATGAAATTTCATCAACTTAACTCTAATGGTACTCAAGTTATTGTGTTCGCAGACACACACACACACACACACACATATACACACACATACAGTAAAGTTTCCCTTTCAAACCTGACGGTCCATGGGGCAAGTGAAGTAGAGTTTATTTGTTTCTGTGACCTCGGCATATGAAGCGATAGTGTGGTCAGCACTATGCCCAGCCGCCTAACGTGAGTTGGTTGGACTCAGGGACGGTCTACTGACTTAAACCCGGATTCAAACTCGAGACTTACTGGTTAGCAGTCCAGCTCTCTACCGCTAGACCACTCCATCCCATACACACATACACAGACACACAAAATTGCAAAGCTAAGTTTTTCAGACTCAGGGAAATCTCAATTTCAATTTTTTTGCAGGATTACAAAACATCCTCAATACATTGTATACAAGAAAGTAACAAGGGGTTTTAGATTGCTTATAAGTACTAAAAAACTAATATTAACACTAAACTAAGTACTAAAAACTAATATTAACACTAAACTTAATAACACCAAGATTTTTAATTCCACACAGTCAGGTCCATTCAAGCACCATTAGCAGCAAGAATCACTTGTAAGCTTGTTTTTTAAACTATTTGACCAAATAGACTTTATTTATTTTCCTGTTCGCTATGTTGTTTTCTTCTATAGTCAATTTTTCTTTTTCCTTACTATTTTGGTGTAACTGAAATAAGATACAACTAGCCTTAGCTGTTTCCTGTTTTTTTTTTTTGTATTTTTTGGATCTAATTAAAGCCATCCAGCACCCAGTATGTTGCCCTGATTATTTTTACTTCATACAAATCTCCTATAACTGCTAACCATACTATTTTTAATCTGAAAAAAGACACCACATAAATGATGTCACACTCATGGGAATGAGAGGGGGGGGGGGTGATGACACCCTTATGCATGTTAAAAAGTAATGTTATAAATTGAGGTTTGCTGTTGTTGTGTTTTATGCTCTTGGAATTTTAAAATTCTTCTTTTTGTAAATTCTAATAAACATACACGCAATGTTGACAGAGCTCAGCTAATATTTTAGAGAAATTACTGTTTTAAAAAACAATAATTGTAGTTATAAGGGGAGAGGGGGAAGGGCCTGGCTTTAACTAACGTGTGGCAATGGGGCGAGGATGAGGAAGTAAAAATTGTTTAAATAGCATGTAGTTGTTTATTGCATGACCTTTTACCAAAGCTGATCACTTACCAAGCCTATTCACAGAGAAAATTAGTCTGGCTGATATATATATATATATATATATATATATATATATATATATATATATATATATATATATATATATATATATATATATATATATATATATATATATATATATATATATATATATATATATATATATATATATATATATATACACTCTAATTCATTTGCATTTGATTTAAGAAGTGTCTTTTTATTAAAGAAATAAAAATATGTTGAAATCCAAGCAAGTTTTAAAAATAAGAAACTTTAAGACTATAGGCAGCTAATTTAAAATTGATTAATTTGTCATTTTAAACTAATAAAATAAATTCTATTTTTTATATTCCATCATGAAACACTTGTTTTTATTTTAAAAATAAATATTCATTCCAATTTTAAAACAAATATTTTGCACGGTTTTCAGTATGTAATGTGCACTTTACTTGTTACATTTTATTCATTAAATACTTTTTCTTTTGTCAAGCTTCTGATGATCCAGTAAAGCCTCCCAAAAATTTAATGCTTCTGGCTATGGGGTTAGGGTTAGGTTTTACCATAGTGATTTTTATTGGTAAGTTGGCCTTTTGATTATTTTACTTAAATGTCTTAATGTACTATATTTATCTGGCGTAGCACGTGTACAAAGTGTAAGTTTAAATTTAACGCTTTGAATTATTTTCTTTTACAGGCAGTGTAATGATAATGAAAAAAAAAGGTAAGACACAGTTCTTTCATTCAGTATAAAGTTTCTGTTTTTGTATAACTAACCTCTTTATGTATTGTATGTTTTCAATTTTGAACAAATGCTTTATTTACAATTGATGGTAATCGGTTTAGGATTAAGGTTAGTGAAAATGTGTAATTTTGTGTGAATACCATCAATAAATTGGGATGGTGTGGTCATGCAGTAGAGCACAGGGCTGCTAACCTGAATGTCATGAGTTCAGATCCTAGGCTGTAGGCTGTAGGACATCCCTGAGTTCATGACACTTGTTAGGGAAAGTAAACAAGTATTTAAATATTGACCAAACTATCCCTTCATATGCAAGGTCACAGCAATAGATGAACTCTACTTCATCTTCCACACAGATTACCAAGTTCAAAAGGGTAACTCACTTTACTTTTATTAAAATAAAATGATTTAGGTAAATATTCATTTACTATCCAACGTAAGTGAACCATAAGATCTGTACTACTGCAAGCCTGTAGGACTGGGGTCCTAAAGCCCATATATTAACCAGATTGTGGACAGGATGGAAATAGAGTAGCCTGTCTCACTGCCATTTTATTTCTTAGATAAAAGGTTTGTTCCTCTCAATGGAAACTGCAATATTCTCCCTGGCTTTTCCCATGATATGTATGTCTCAGATCAAGCCCAATAATAATAGCATCAAATATATTACGTGTAGATATATTAATTTGTGTGTATATCTATATCTGTCTGTCTGTCTACCTGCTGTCTGCTGTCTATATCTATATATATATATATATATATATATATATATATATATATATATATATTTATATATATATATATATGCTAATTGGATGTGTTTGTATGTTCATACCTCAATATAATTAAGCTATTAAAATAGAACAATTTTATGCTGTAGGCCTATTAATAACTAATTAGTTAACTTCCATGTTGTTTCTATGAAATTTCAACACAGTGTTTTGTATGACATGTTATTGTTCTTTTATTTGGTATTGAAATTGTTTGTACGATTTTGTCTCTATATATGAGACTTGGGTGTGGTGAATGGCATATTGCTAAGTTTAATGCGACGCCCTCAGTGTTGTAATAGATCAATTGGTGGCCCATAGACATTATAAGATTTGGGTGATTTAGATGTTTGTGATGCTATTTTATTCAGTTCTGTACTATATTTATTTCGAGCTTCCCAATTTATTTTATTTAAGAATGTTCTTTAACTTAGTTATATAAAAGAATTGTGCTGTTTATTATACAACATATTTTTATTTCTTATGAAAGGAAATATATTTTTAAGATATTTGTTAAAAATTTAAACTATAATGCAAGTTTAAATAAACTTAATTGCACTCACTAGTTGCACTTGTTCATTACTGTTAAGATTGGACGAAACCTATTTTTGTAAATGTTGCCTTTACAGTGGAGGTAAAAAAAAATTTTTTTAAAAGAAACAAATTATAGCTGAAAAAAATATTTTCTATTTCATATTTTAAGAATCAATGCTTTAAAAGATGCAAAAATCAGAGAAGTGGTAACTATTCTGGTCTACATTTCTATTTATTTACATCAACCTAACGTTTTAACCAGAAGTTTTACTTTAAGTAAGACTAACTTTGGTACTAAATTTCACTAAAGGGACATAACTCTGTCAGGAATTTAAACTTACAATTTTCCCTGTTCTTTGACTACACACAAAAATAAATGAAGAAATCATTTAGATTTATTGTTAAATCTATTCAAACAGCTGTGAAAATTAATCAACAATGACTAATCATTACTTTTTTTGATTGAATGCTGATGTGAATTTAGCAAATATGTCACAGATTAGCAATAAAGTTAGTGCATTAGTGGGCATTTTGAAGGTACAATGGTATTTACTATTATATAAGGCATAGCAAAGTTATTTTTAACACAGCTACTGATTAGTTAAAAGGGTAATTTAGTACTTAGCACCAATGAGGAAACTTAAAGAAAGAGAAAAGAAGTTTTGATTTGAGGTCATTGATGATAAAATAATCAATCAAATAAAATTTCAGAAATAGTAATGTGAATTGTTTAGGGTGGTATTGAGGGTTACTTTTTGCTATTGTTTCAAGTTCCCTGTCATTAAACTCCTGCTATCTAGAATATTAATTACAACTACATAATATTAGGTTCTAAAATCAGTCTCTAAAACAACGCGATTCCTGCTACAATTTAAAAAAAACAACCTATTTTGTAATATATTTGGTGGTAGTTTTTGTGTGGTTGTGGGAATGGGGAGGGAGGGAGAGGGTTGCAATGTCACATAATTCTATTGAGATGTTCTATAGTGATGTTATGAAACGTTACACAATGAGGAAGGAGCTGGTTAAAACTGAAGCCTAACATTACACTCCTCCAGTCAATACCCCAGGTCATTTTTCCATTGTCCCTACCCCCAGATCAATTACCCCCAGGTCATTTTTCCATTGTCCCTACCCCCAGATCAATTACCCCCAGGTCATTTTTCCATTGTCCCTACCCTCAGATCAAATACCCCCAGGTCATTTTTCCATTGTCCCTACCCCCAGATCAATTACCCCCAGGTCATTTTTCCATTGTCCCTACCCCCAGATCAATTACCCCCAGGTCATTTTTCCATTGTCCCTACCCCCAGATCAATTACCCCCAGGTCATTTTTCCATTGTCCCTACCCCCAGATCAATTACCCCCAGGTCATTTTTCCATTGTCCCTACCCCCAGATCAATTACCCCCAGGTCATTTTTCCATTGTCCCTACCCCCAGATCAATTACCCCCAGGTCATTTTTCCATTGTCCCTACCCCCAGATCAATTACCCCCAGGTCATTTTTCCATTGTCCCTACCCTCAGATCAAATACCCCCAGGTCATTTTTCCATTGTCCCTACCCCTAGGTCAATTACCAACCTCCCAAAACTTCACCCAGACTCATAAACAGCAGTAGGATGTTACCCTTGACAATTATCCATCAGTTAAGTTAATGGTGAAGGTGGAGGATATGATTTTGTTTAGGAACTGAGTTAGGGATAGGGTGATGGATATGGGGAAAAATGGGGATAGGAATAGGTATAAAATGTATTCTGTATTGGGATAATTACGCAGGGTGGTAACTGATAAGAGGTAATTAAACGAGGAGCTAATGTCAAAAATGGGGAGGGTGTAGTGAGTGACATCATGGGCTTAGTGAAACATGTAACATTTTGGTTAACATTTGAGTTGTTGTATGCCTATTTACACAATTTTTGAGACAGTAAATTGTGTTTTAATATTATTGGCAATCCTCTACATCACGGGTTCCCAACCTGGGGGTCGCGACCCCCCTGGGGGTCGCGAAGGTATTTCTGGGGGGTCGCCAACTGGTATACTAAACCTTAGTAATTTTAAACAAAACATAAATATTTAGAAGAATTTTCTAAATTCGGCTTCATTAACATCACTGGAAATGTAATCGAGAAGAAACAAAGCGCACTGTACAAAGTTGTTCTCAGTCACGAATCAATGAAATCTTCAAAACTAAAACGTCATTTGAGACGAGTCATTCGGAACACACCAAAAAATATATGGAGTTCTTTCGTCGGTAAGAAGCTAGTTGCAAACGCCAGAAACTTGATCAAACAGGAAGTTTTAACCAGCATTAGTGCAAGCATCAAATGAAGTCGCGGTAGAAAATGCCAAGCAAAAAAAAAAAAAAAAAAAAAAAAAAACAATAGGAGAAAATCTCATCAAACGCTGCATGTACGTAAATGTTAAATAATACATTTTTATTGAAATTAAGCTTTCACCATTGTTTGCTTTTCAAGTTGACAAACAACATACGTGAGTTCGTGTTCGCAGTTGCTGGTCTGTGTCTATATTCATGCGGATGATAGCAAAGAAGAGTTGCTCTTTTGTGAAGATAGCATGGAGAAAATAAATACCTTTTTTGAAACTGGATGATTAAAGAATAAAATGGGTTAGAACGGCTGTGGGGGTTTGTACGGATGGTGCGCCATCTATGTTTAGCTTAAAATCGGGCTTTCAGAAAACAGAAAAGATTTAGTTCCCTAACCACTGCCCTAACCAATCGACATCAAGAGTCTATTGCTAGTATAAGTCGTAAATTATATAAAATCTGGAGCCTCAAAGAACTGAGCAAAACATTAATATAGATCACAAGGTTCTGCTCTTCTACACTACAGTGCGCTGTCTGTCAAACTAAATGTTGTAAATTGTGTTTTTGAATTAAAATCTGAAATCAAATTGTTCTTGGGAGTGCAAAGGAAACAAGACTTTTTGGTATACTTAAAACGACATAGAGTGGTTGGAGAGAGTATCATACCTAGCAGATGTGTTCGAACATCAAGATAAGCTTAACCTAAAGCTTCAGGGAAAATGAACGAATATTATAACTTTCCATGATAATCTCGGGGCATTTTTATCACAGCTGCAAAATCGGTAAAGAAAACAAATGTTGGAAATTTTGTAAATTTGAGAAATTCTGCGGTGTGGTAGATGAATCTGATTGTGAGATAATTAAAATTTTGAAAGAAGCGAGTTCTGGGCATCTTGAATCTCTTGAAATAAGTTGAAAACGAACTGCATCGCTATTTCTCTGAGCTGAAAAAAAAGAAGAATCTGCATTTACGCATTACCCATTCTCTTCTTCCCTTGTTGCCAGCATTTCCGATGAATTACAAGATGAATTCTTTGATTTGCAGAATGATTCCGAGTAAGATGAAAAACTGCAGACACAATGTTGGTTTAGTATTCACCATTCATACCCAAACGTAAAATTGATTTACTTTTCGAGAATATATTTTCAACACTATTCTTCGATTAAAAACAAAATTAAGATAATTATAATGACATAGGTTGGCGTTAACAAAAAATGGTTTTAATTATAAACTTAACCTCGAAGGTTTAGTGAATAGTATGCAATTTTACTCATGCTATTAAAACAGTTATCAAGAGTAGTTTATATTGAAAGTCTACTAGAAAATCTTAATTTAGTGCTTATTAATTTCCATACTAATTTTGGCTTTTTAATTCTATAGGGGTCGCGGGTCACTTACTTTTTATAAAAGGGGGTCGCCACTCAAAAAAGGTTGGGAATCACTGCTCTACATATTATTTAATGGTTACCTGTTGTTTTATTTTTATTGTAGATATAGAGCATGTGTGTGTGCAATGTTGTTACACTTTCTTAAAATGATTTCATTGTTTATTTTTCACTTAATTCAACATTGACAGTGTAAAAAGCTATATACTCTTACATGATACTAGTTTTATAATTTTTGTTTGTGGATATTTTAATTGAATAACATTTGGGGTTGTTGGAGGGTGAAAGTAAGTAACAAGCAGTTTTCTCTATAATGATTTGTGTAACTGTCTTATCAAGGAATAGCAGGTGATTTGTATGTTAACTTTTAGAATCCAGTAGAAGTGTACATGTTGCTGCAGTTTTTTTATTTTTTTTTAAATTTTTTTTTAAAATTTAAACATACACGTTTCAGTTAACATTTAAATTTATAGGCCTACATGGCTATAAATGGCTGGAGCAAAGCCTAGTCAATGACAGCTACTATATATAAACACATACATACTGATATATTACCAAACATACATACATACATATATACACATATTGAGAGATATTTGTAATTTAACCAATAAATAATATATAATTGATTTACAAGTCGGCCTATGGTTTTTTTTTTTTTACAGATCTGTTGACTGACTGCAGCAAGATAGATGATGATGATGATGATGGTAAACAATAGAATGAATTCACCAACTAACTGGTAGATGTTTTTAGTGAATAATAGCCACACTGACAACCCAAATTTGCTGAAATCCATACTGACTACCCAAATGTGTTATTAGAGCTATTGCCACACTGACAACCTAAATGTGCTGATAGAGCTGTTGCCACACTGACAACCCAAATGTACTAATAGAGCTATTGATACACTGACATCTGTAAATGTGCTTCTAATTCCTTTGTACTACATCTTCAAGCCACTGACAACCCAAATGTGCTGAAATCCATACTGACTACCCTAATGTGTTAATAGAGATATTGCCACACTGACAACCCAAATATGTTAATAGAGCTATTCCCACACTGACAACCCTAATGTGCTGACAGAGCTGTTGCCACACTGACAACCCAAATGTGTTTATAGAGCTATTGCCACACTGAAATCTCTAAATGTGCTCCTATTTCTGTTGTACTACATCTTCTAGATACTGACACTGAAACAACTCTATTAAACAGCACTTTATCACAAAACTTTGCCCTCAAATGTTGCTTCACATCATGAAGAAATGCAAATTACACCTGATAAAGTAATCAAAATCATGTATATATTGCTTCAGTCAAGAAGATATTCCCAGGGACATTTCATTAGCTACAGGTTTGGTAAATCTTATTTTAAGTGTTGATGTCTAGCTATCACAAAATATAAAGTGAACTTATACTACAAAAAAATATAATCAAAGTATTATGTAAACATTTAAAATGAGTTTACGTTTTTATGTTACAAATTAAAATGTTTGTAGTTTTAAATGTGTTGGTTTTAAGTTGTTTGACTTTACATCTGTTAACAAATTGGACCAATTTGGAATTTAATTATCAACATTCAATTTTTTTTCTTGTATGGTACCCATATACATTTGTTGTGTAAATTATAAGTATGGTATTTTATGCTTTAGGGTTGTCAATAAGATGACTTACATTTAGTGCTGCCTTTTGACAAACAGAAATACATTTCTAAAATAATATTATATACCACTAATCTAGAGGTACACATTTTTATAGACATATATAATAATAAAGTGTCAAGAACTATAACAATTTATTTGAATTCTCTATATACCACACAGATTTATAGAAGTACTAAAATGTAACATTATTTATTGCCTGCATTATGTAAATTCTTAAAATTTTTCTAGGTGTTAACTTTAACCAAAACTTAGCGTAACATAAACTGTAATGAATTACACTTTACTCTCAAATAAGAAATCTATTATAAGATACCAGCACAATTCATTAAAAAGAACTAATTCATTTTGTTTCTCAAACTTTACCAAAAGTGTATAAAACTCTATACAGATCCTCTTGTAGTGTCTTTCTTGGCAATAGAGGGCTTTATAATTATATCCCTGTACTGTAAAAAATATATAAACACATAATAGCTAAATAGATACATATAATTTATAGTTTATTTAAATCTTAATTTCACAAGAGTTTTGAGTACATACCTTCCACATTACATTCAGATTAAGCATTTCTAGATAATCATTTTAAATGGCACACTAAAAACACATTACATTTGATCTGATTTATGTTTATATTCCTTGATTAAACCTCATATAAATGGTAAACCATTGTGAAAAAGTTAGTTAAATGTTATGATTTTAGCTTTGATTAGATATTTAATTCAAGAGACATGAACTAAGATAGAATAATTCAAGGGAAGCCAGGACTGTCAGAAGGGAGATAATCAAAACATTGATCGCCTTGGTAACGGCTGAGTTATGTGTTGTGTCTCCTCTATACCCCCTGTGGTTGTGGCTCGAATAGTTTTCACATTGACAGGTGTTGTTGTGGTTGCGCATGCACACACACACACACACACACACACACACACAGGACAGCAACTACTGCTACCCATGTGCTCACCTATATTGTCGTCCAGAACTACACTAAACATTGATGAATCAATCAAACCCAATGCGACATTGTCTTCCAGGCATCTCTTCGGGGGGGGGGGGAGAGGAAAGGCTCTGCCCCCAATCCCCCCCCCCTCCAAGAAAGTCCACCCCCCTCCCCGAACGAAATGGAATTAACATAGAAAACATACTTTTACCAGTGTCCGCCCCCCCCCCCCCCCCCCACCCCCGAGAAATAAGTCTGGAAGAAACACTGATAATAGTCCTGATCATTTTTTTTGGTAAAACCTTTTTCAAAATAACGTACAAATACAATACATGCATTGAAAACAAAAGAAATAAACTTTTATTCAGTCTTTATGTAATCCCAAAGTACTTTTAAAAAATAACTTAAAAGGCTGTGGTAACCCATACAATCTTGAAGAAATTTACAATTGAACTAGAATTTCAAAACAAACATTGAATTAATCGGAAAGACAATTCAAATTTAAATATGGGTAAATAAACATATGATGCGTTAAGCAGACTTAAAATGATTTATTATTACTGTCCCATTAAAATTGAGTTTGTAATAAGGTTAGCAATGGTAAAATATCTTGAAAAAACCAACAACACGTACATAGTATAATGTTTTACAGTTAGCTTTTCAATATAATAAGGTTAGCAATGGCAGGGGCGTAGCGAGGGGGGGGGGGCGGGGTTTGCGGACCGCACCGGGTGACACCATTTAGAGGGGGGTGACACCAAGGCAAAAAATAGCAAAATATATAGAGAAAAACTTGACGGGGGGGGGGGGGGGGTGCAAATCGAAAGTTTGAGGGAAGGGGGGTGCAAATCGAAAACTTGAAAGTTTGTCCCCGGGAAGGGTCGCTACGCCTCTGGGGGGGGGGTGACACCATTAAGTGCCGCACCGGGTGACACCCGACCTCGCTACGCCACTGAGCAATGGTTAAGTATTTTGAAACAAAAGCATATACATAATATCATGTTTACAAGTAGCATTTCAATGCTATATGAAATCATGTATCACAGACGCTAAATAATATTTTAAAATAATAATTTAAGACTGAACAATATCTCAATAGAAATGAGGACGAGAGCACAGTAGAGAGAGAAAACGTTGGATGTTTTGGTGACTGCTAAGTTATGCGTTGTAGTCTCGAGGTTCAGTGCGGGCTGTGGGATAGTAGAGATGGTTATAGTGGTAGCAAGGCTGGTTGTTTCTTCCATAGTTGTAGGGTCAGGCGCTGCAGAATTTGAAAAAAGGTTGAAATAGAATTTTTTAATGAAGTTTCTAATTGAATGACATTTAATAAGGCTATCAGAACAAAATAAGTAAAATATTAAAATTTAGTGTTTTATTATCGTTTTTAAAAAAGACAAATATCACAATACGTCCTTCTTAGTTACTTTGCTATAGGGGACGTCCATAAATGACGTCACACTCGTAGGGGGGAGGGGGTCCGTAATTTTGTGACGGTGTGTGATGAGGGGGAGGGGGGGGTTAGATCGTGCGACGTCACACTTTTGCATTATTAAAAAGCACACCAATTTTAGACGTTATTTCGCGTTTTAGAAAACTGTTTTAATAGGAATTGATTAAAATACTCAATTTTGGCAGAGTTCAGACAAGATTTTGGAAAAATATCGATGTTTTAAAAGAAAATTCAACTGCAATTTTGAGGGGGGTTGTAGAATGAGGTGCAACGTCATTTTATGGGGGGGGGGGGGGGGTCTGGCTTTTTGTGACGATGTGTGACGGAGGGGAGGGGGAGGTAAAAATGGTCAAAAAAGCGTGATGTCGTTTATGGATGATCCCATATTTTAGAGAAATAAGGTAGATTAAGCTAATCTGGTATTGAAAAACTAAAAAAAAACACCCTTTTAAGTAGCGAAGATTTCGACAAAATAACGAACTAACGATTTGTGGTGAACTTACTGGGTTGCATGCAAAGGTAGTTACGTGCAGCATCACCTTTAATACACGACAAGTCGTAGACTTTGTCATCAGCAGTAACAGCGATGCAGTCTAGTGCGTCACTCTTTTTGGCCACGGGAGTCCACCAGCTGTTTATGATGTAGGCGGAGCTACCGTCCTCCGCCCACACGAACTGCCCTTCATTCGCTTTATCATTGGCACCGATCCAATAATCCTCTTGAGAACGTAGAAAGTAATGAGTGGTTTGAAAAATAAGAGATACTGTACTTACATACGAGACGACATGGTCTTCTTTTTTCTTCTTCTTCGTTCTTAATTTTAGTGTTGGAAGGGGTTTCTTCCAGCTCATAATTAAATATACGTGTCAACCGGTTATGCGCCACTTAGGCCGTTGACTTTTATTTCAGCCTGCTATTCCTTTTGGATTTAGTTCCATAGTCTATGCTCAACTAAGACGTGGTCGAGTATGACAATTAACCCCGAACGTCCCGAGTTCGTATCCCATGCTGGTGTCTGTAGATCGTCACTGAGTCCACTCATCTCTGATTGGTACCTGACTCACGTCAGGGAAAGTAAAGGCGGCTGGGCATAGTGCTGACCACACTATCCCCTATGAAGAGGTCATTAAAACAGCTGAATTCTACTGCATCAGCATCTTGTGTCTTAGGCACAAAAGGGACAAGATGATATTACTTACATATATTATAGTTAAGTAGAGTTCACATTTGAAGGGGTAGTGTTGTCAGCACTATGCCCCTGTCGCCTTTGTTTTACCTACCAACTCAGTTGCCTACCAGAGATGTGAACGTACCGTGATCCGAACTCCGTCATTAGGAACAGTAATGAGTATTTGATCCATCTTAAATTGTGTTGGCTATGTTGCGATATAACTACTTTTGTTTTTCTATTTTTAGCAATTTATAATTATTGGCTTGAGAACAAAATATTT